TTTGGGGTCTCTCATTTTTGGGAACAAATCCCAAAGATTTTGGGGTCTCTCATTTTTGGGAACAAATCCCAAAGATTTTGGGGTCTCTCATTTTTGGGAACAAATCCCAAAGATTTTGGGGTCTCTCATTTTTGGGAACAAATCCCAAAGTTTTGGGGTCCCTGCAGTGCCCCCAAAATCCCAAAATCCCGTTCTCTGAGGGAATTTGGGAACGTCCAAAACTGAAACTTTGGGAATTCCCCTTTTTGGGATCAACAGCTCCCAAAGATTTTGGGGTCTCTCATTTTTGGGAACAAATCCCAAAGATTTTGGGGTCTCTCATTTTTGGGAACAAATCCCAAAGTTTTGGGGTCCCTGCAGTGCCCCCAAAATCCCAAAATCCCGTTCTCTGAGGGAATTTGGGAACGTCCAAAACTGAAACTTTGGGAATTCCCCTTTTTGGGATCAACAGCTCCCAAAGATTTTGGGGTCTCTCATTTTTGGGAACAAATCCCAAAGATTTTGGGGTCTCTCATTTTTGGGAACAAATCCCAAAGTTTTGGGACCCCAAACCCCGCTCAGCGACAGATTTGGGGCGATCCAGGATTGGAGATTTTGGGATTTTCCCACTTTGGGACCCAGATTCCCAAGTTTTTTGGGGTCTCTCATTTTTGGGATCCTTCCAGTGCCCCCAAATCCTGGAATTCTCCCCAGGATTTTTAGGATTTTGGGGTTTTTGCGACCCCAATGACCCAAAATCCCGTGTTTTCACCCCAAAGCCAACCTCACGCTGCCGGAGGCGGGCGAGTTCCTGGTGCCGTGCAGTTCGTGGAGCTGCAGCCACTGCTGATGTTTTTGGGGATTTTTAATAGGACTTTTTATAGGATTTTTAGGTTTTTAGGATTTTGCGACCCCAATGACCCAAAATCCCGTGTTTTCACCCCAAAGCCAACTTCACGCTGCCGGAGGCGGGCGAGTTCCTGGACGCCGTGCAGTTCCTGCAGCTGCAGCCACTGCCGATTTTGGGGCTATTTTATGGGATGTTTAGGTTTTTAGGATTTTAGGTTTTTAGGTATTTAGGATTTTGGCATCCCCAATGACCCAAAATCCCGTGTTTTCGCCCCAAAGCCAACTTCACGCTGCCGGAGGCGGGCGAGTTCCTGGCGCCGTGCAGTTCCTGCAGCTGCAGCCACTGCTGATGTTTTTGGGGCTATTTTATGGGGTTTTTAGGTTTTTGGGATTTTAGGTTTTTAGGATTTTGGGGTTTTTGCCACCCCAGTGACCCAAAATCCCGTGTTTTCACCCCAAAGCCAACTTCACGCTGCCAGAGGCGGGCGAGTTCCTGGACGCCGTGCAGTTCGTGGAGCTGCAGCGGGACGAGGCGGCGGCGCTGGTGCGGCAGTACAACGAGGAGGGGCGCAGCGCCGCGGCCGGAGCGGCCGGAGCGACCGGAGTGACCGGAGTGACCGGAGTGGCCGGAGTGACCGGAGCGGCCGGAGCGACCGGAGTGA